TAACCATAGAACGTCCCTAAATTATTTACTGGTTCGAGAATATCACATGGATCTATTTCGTAATCAGTGTTATCTCCTGAAACTGACAACAACAACGTGTGTAGTCTTGCCAAATAAAGTTTTGCATGTGAGCAGGCTGTCAGTCTTTGCTTAGAGCAATACCAGTTTTACCTCGTCTTAAGCCATCACTATATTAAATATGTGTTACATTGGCGTTACTTGACGAATGCAATTCTACGGTGTTTACCTTGTTTGAGAACAAAGCCACATTGGGATATCTACTGTGTCTACCGCGGGACTCGAACCCACTATTTTAGCGTTGTAAGTCTCTAAACTAACTGCTGTTCTACCGGAGACCGGTGTTAATTTATCTTCAGAACAAACTGTAGACTTAATACATTGCCATGTATTAGTGTTTGAGGCTTAAAATGAGATAAAATGCTTGTGGGATCCCTGTATATATCATCTTGTAGATGGTACTTCAGGGAGTCGTGTGTCACCACTATTACAGACAATATTTACATTTTAACTACCTATGTTGTTGTCCCCGGAAGAGATGGTAAAATAATTGTTCCTGCTTTTTTTTGACCCACTCCTCAGTGGCCAGCGGTTAGCCCTTGGTGGGCACAGCACTGATAGCCCGTTGTGTAGTTTTGTGTTTAACAACAAACAAACAGGAAAATTAAAAAAAACAACTTAATTTTGCTAATCAGTGCTACAAAAAACATTCCTCTAGGAGGTTCCAGTTCACTAATTTCATTTATGCCCTATCTTAAAGCATAAATGATAAACCTATTCAGTAAAGTTCTTTTAATTCATGTCACGCCTGGACACATAAGTCGCACATGACTTTAGCAATGCATCTATACCGTCAGATAGCTGAAGGACGGGATGACTATTCTTTGGTTCATGCATTCAAAAATCATTGAAAACTTGTAATTTTTTTTTGGATGTCTGTTGGGAAGAGGCCGAACTATGTAAGAAAAACAAATTAAGGTTGTTACTTTAGTTCTCAAACCACAGATAGCGAGTTTATTTCACTCAAGTAGTCACTGTTTCTTGTATTAGTTATACTACAAAAAATACAAAATGCACAAAAACAAAAGTTTGCGATTAACTAATATGAAATAAAACACTTTTTGTACTAAAAGGTGTCACGTTAAAATTTATTGTGTTAATATATGTATATTAAACAAATATAAATAGTCTGATTTTAAAAAAACTGTAATAGTTTGTAAAGTATTCCGATCTCTACTTATTAATTGTTAGAGTTTGAGCCAATAAATCTCAAATCAATATTTTCATTAAATATTTGTTTGTTCACACGAATCGTTGTGTATACAGTAGACTAGATAATCGGGTTAATGAAGCGGCTACTTGGCGAGAATGACTCTCACTCTTATAACATACACTATCCTATACACTAGTTACTAGTTCATGCCTTCGCCCTGAATCACTGTTAAACAATAACACCGTATTGTATAATGGGGAATGCGTTAATAATTTATAAGAAAAAGTATTACCGTAACTGGTAGCAGAAGAGTAGTTACAGGCAGAAAAATCGTTGATAGGATGCAATTTCTGTAAATACAGGATGGATCATAAACATGTTTACAGAAGGATTTTTCGGCTCACTTATTTCCTAATTATTCTTTGTTTCTTAGGTCTATCCATTGATGGTCGCTAACGGCAGTAATGGCTGATAAAGTTAACACGAAGCAAAATATTTTTGTGCTTCATGTGTGATAGAGAACGTAAAGGAGTTTTGCTTTGTGTAAACAAGAAAGGCAAACACTTTAAACACTTGCTTTAAGAAATAAAATTATTTTGTAAAACACCATACCAATTCTTTAATCATCTCTTATGGTTGTAGTAACAACATAATTAATTTTGTACTGTACATCTGACTGAATATACCATTGGTTCATTAAATGGGTAAATTTATTTAGAGTCAACACTGTATATTATCAGAATGTATGTGAAATAATTCGCTAAATGACTACTAGAGTAAGTTTTTTTAAATAATAGGTTTGTTTGTTTTTAATTAAGCACAAAGCTACACAATGAACTATCTGTGCTCTTCTCACCACGGGTATCGAAACCCAGATTCTAGCGTTGTAAAACCGCAGATATACCGTTGTGCCACTGGGGGGGGGAGGGTTTTAATAATAGGTCAACCAATTTCTTATTAGCATTTATTTTTAAGGCGCTGAAAATAAAATGTTATTCGTAATATATGAAAAGAGCCTAGATGGATTTAAGTGATAAATATGACGGCTTCAAATATATATAATTATTCTAGATCTGGTTACTCTTAAAAGACTTCGAGCCCGTAGCCCACACAAGTCTAAATGGATTTTGGGTCACTATATTTGAACATGTGTAGTGGTGGCAGTCTCCCCCCCCCTCCTTACCTCTTTCACCCGTAGTAGGGATTTCGAAAATAAACCAGGGACAATCTCTGATATAATCACCTCTATTCGGAAGTAACTATAACAGGACTTTTATTCAAAAACTGGGTGTAAATCTCAGGATCGCAATATTTATATTTAGAAGAGGAGGACTAGGGGACTAGTAAACAACAACAAAATCACATACCTAAGTAGCGGAGTCAATACATTTGTGTGTTTATTAATTACAGGGGAAGCAATATAGCGTTTTGTATTACAATTTTTGGTTAATGATTTAGCTTCTTAAAAACGCTTTATATTTTGTTTCAAAATAAACTCTGATATCGAAATACAGACATGGGTGCCCACAGAAATATTTTCAAGGGGTAAAACATGTATGTAGGGGATCAGCTTTTACAGTGTAACTCAACAGACTAAAATAATATATGTTATGTGTGCTTAAATGTAAACATAAATTGACAGTTTTAATTTTTAATAAAAATTACTAAGAATATTAATTTAATTACGATGTTAAGTTTGCATCATAATACGTGCAATATTTTTGTGAAATGTATGGGGTCGTCCATGAATACAGAAACGAATGACAGGAATTTTTCGTATCATTTTCATGAATTCGAACTTAACTACTTTGCCAATTGCAAATTAATATTCGATGATATTTACATTTTTAGATATTAGTACGTTTCTTGACTTAGTGTTGGTAAATTATTAATCTTTATTTAATATCGATTGTTGGGGTGTAATCTTGTTGAACATATGTCGACTTTTTTGTTTTTAATAATAAATGTAATCTCTGATTAACAGATGGTTATACTACCAGCACCCCTTCTTCTAGAGTGGAAGAATCTCGTATATCGAAAACCGTCTGCTGCGTTTATTTTACTTTGCGCCAGGTGAGCCAGGTAAGGAACGTTTTGCGCATGTCAATTCTGTCATTAGTCACGCACAAGTGTTTCCCTTAGCAACAGTAGCTATGGTCTACTCACCACCACCTTAGCAACGGAAATGTTGTGCAACACACAGCGAGTGTTTCGAATTCAACGCCTTAAAAAACCAGCATCATAGAGTAGTTAAAACCATTGAAAAGTAACAAAAAATAATCAACAAACTATAGCACACACACATACACAAACACAAAACACATTGGCCTAAGTCTTAGTTTAAAAAAGGCACAACTGCCAAGGCACTTGGCTCACTAAATAGCGTGGCTAATTTTGATATGACATTCAAGTGTTACCAGTATACCTGGCTCGGTAGATTTCCAGGTGATACGACACTGTTCATGAGGCTAATCCACTCAAAAGTACTGTTCATTACACAGTTTTCAAAACTGTAGTCACATAGGATGATAGCAAGCTACAGCTGTACAAAGAAAGCGTTGCACCACGTAACAATAAATATCACATTTTCAGTAGTTGTTTATGGGTGTCTGATTACTTTCACAACATTAAAAATCAAAAACATGGCGACTTTTCATAAATGACTAATCTAAGCTATAGTTGTTATTTGAATTGAAAATAATATCTTAGAATATATTTTGAGCAGGTCTCACTAAATAATTATAATTATACGAGAACTGTATAAATTATTTCGTGTTAAAATATTTCTATTATTTTTATTGCGGAATTATTATGTTTTGTGAAGTTTAAAGTAAAGAAATAAATAAAGTTTATAATTTGTGAAAGCATCAGAAGCGCCATTTCAGTTTTCGGTAGAGAAAAGGCAACTTTTATTGGAGTTCCAGGAGAGTTAGGCCTGTGGACGGTTTTGGGATTTTTAAAGGTTAAAATATGAAAGGTAGTCTCTGTTGGGACTATTTGCTCTGATTATTTCCTGTATTATTTAATAGCCATTAAAGTAGCACAGACTATGTATATATATATGTATTGTTCCCAAAGTAAACAAAATATATTAAGCCTGGGGGGGGGGGAATTCACTACCTGAATGACCTCCCTGGAAAACGTACCAACAAAACATTGTCATTAAAACGTTAGACAATAGTATATATATATATATATTTTACGTATCCTTTACATGCGTATCAATATTTAGGTAAAACAAGATAAACATATAAGTACGAGTAAAAGTTTATGTTTATCACAAAAACTCTATATCTGCTAAACAGGACGAAAACGTGATGCGTTTGCGGCTGAAAAATATCACATTTAATTTCTGGCTAAAAACTTGAAATGTCGTTCTAATTTTCGGTGCTAATTAAAAATGTGATGTTGGCTCATACTTATTCAACGCAGCTATAGATTAATGAGAAGTGTTTAATAAGGGACAAGCTGAAAAATAAGATATACGCTAGAAACAATTGAGACATCGCGAGCGGCTGAAAGATAGAGTGCCGAGCACTGAACGAGTATTGATTTTCATAAGCAGGGAGAGAAACTCACCTAAGCTGTACGCATTACTGGTAGCTAGTGTGTCTAGTATACATGGAATGGGGAGGAAGATATGAGAATAGGTGAAAGAGCTACCTTAGCATGTGACGTCATATTGTATAGGGAAAAAGGTGGCGACTAACAAAAGAGGAGTGGATCCCGATCGACGGCCGCCTTTCATTCGGAGATTTGGCGCCCAGTGTTGTACTCACCAGGCACGCGGGCACCTGCACGCGTGGCGCGTTCTCTCCACTTCAACGTGTGTGTATGTACATGTAGCTTCTTGTTTCCTCACCGGCTACACACCTTCGTTCGTTTGCTGTCACATTGCACCTCGTGCACTGCACCTTCGTACAGCTCTGCAGTGTTGGAGACCCCCGGCGTTTTGACGACGACACGGTCGGCATCACCACCTTGTACCTATCGGCTCGCTAGTCCGCCACACCTGGGCCGCGCCCGACGCAAATCCAGCATTATTGAACCCTAGGTTTCAGCGGTTACTAGGGGCAACTGACAGTTAGCACGCGTTCCACAAACAATATGACCACCGCAACAGAGCCTACAATAACGTTAAGTCAGAGCATGGACTCAGTGAATACAGCTTCTGAAGAAGAGGTAAAACGTTTACATTTCTTTTACAACTATTTAGTTGATTTAAAAACAAAAAACAAAAGAAAAAAACATATTTATTATATCTTTTCGCGAGTATTTAACGTTCCCTAAGTTCGAAAATGATAATAAAATTACAAGATATAGGGGATCCATAAATAATACTACTCCTTAGTTTTTTTTTAAAGCTATCGCGACTTCTTTCGGCTTAGCTTCGAGCATGGCCAGGTGTCTGCGAAACCACACCTGGATTCGCCTCAGGAGTTGAGTGGAAACAAGCAGCTTACTAGTTAGTGGTGGGACTCATTGAGTGGACTCAGTTTTTAAAGTGGTTAGCGTAGATGTAACTCAATCAAAGGTGTATATATATATATATATATATTCACTTACTAATAATCTGACGTAATCAGAACTATAAAACATCTGCTATACTACTATAAAAAGCAACTTGTTTTATCAATATAGCATTCTGATATAAAGTTTCACTTTAATGTTAATCTTATCTTTTATATGACTTAACCTTTCGCATCAGCATCAACTTAACATTTTAACCAACCTATCGTTTCGCTTTAATATCAGTCTATTCTAAGATACTTAACGTTTCGATTTAGCGTCAACTTAAGTTTCTAAATTACTTAAAACTTTATCTTTTTTATTCACATATTAACTTAAGCATCGGCCTATTCCAAATTACCTAACGTTTCGATTTAGCGTTAACTTAAGTTTCTAAATTACTAAAAAACTTTCTCTTTTTATTCACATATTAACTTAAGCATCGGCCTATTCCAAATTGCCTAACGTTTCGATTTAGCGTTAACTTAAGTTTCTAAATTACTTAAAAACTTTCTCTTTTTATTCACATATTAACTTAAGCATCGGCCTATTCCAAATTACCTAACGTTTCGATTTAGCGTCAACTTAACGTTCTAACCGACCTAACGTTTCACTTTAATATCAGTCTATTCTAAATTAATTAACGTTCACTTTAGTATCGACTTAAGTTTCTAAATTACTTAAAACTTTATCTTTTTCACATTTTTCAAGATATTCTGCCCCCCCCCCCAGTGGCACAGCAGTATGTCTGCGGACTT